GTAATTGTCAACCACATCTGCTACTTCTGTCTCTTCATTGCAAATCCAGTCTGAACTCTGGTCATTGTACATTCAAACTGGCCAATGTTTTAATCTTACTCAGCTATTCTGTGTTGTGTCAAAACCTTGAGAAAACTTACAACCCAGGAAGCTAGATCCTTTCTCAGTTTTCATAGCCTCATTAGATAAGTTTACTGTTATTTCAGATACTTAAAACCACACATATACTTTAATCTTTTTATTCAAGGGCCTACTTAATCCCTTTGTATTAATCCTCTGCCCTATTTCAAAATTCAAAGTGACAGCAAATCATCTTACCCAGTATAGAACTGTCCTGTATATGTACAGGATCCGATCTGGGTCGGTCACCGGAACCAGAGGTTTAGTCTTCCGAACTTTCAGACTCATGCCCATCCTCAGGGAACTTCTCTCTTACCAAACTCTTAAACCAGAATGTGTTTAATGTGCAGAGAGAAATTCCCTGCACGAGATCAAAAGTTTGGAAGACTAAATCTCGGTGACCAATCCAGATTGGATCCTGCAACATTATCCTGGGACATGTATATTTGCCTTTATTTGTGCATATTTACAATACATAATCATTTCACTCACTTTATATTCTTTGTGTGCTGGATGGCACAACCACATTAGCATCTTTATATTGCAGCATCTACTTATATCCAATTGTCTACCTCTTGGCCACAAGATGATACTGCTCTTCCCTCACTTTCTCTTTTGTGATCAGCCACTACTTGCAAAAAAGCAGGACTGCAAAGAGTCCAAGGTCACATTCTCATGTAAAAGAAGAAAAAAGGAGCGTGTGGTCCTACTATACTGCTTCAACAGTCCTTCTGAGAACAGAGTCTCTACTCCTAGACTTCATGTCCCAGGGCCAGGAGCAAAGCATATCCTCATGTCTTAGGGTTGGGGGCAACATCAGCTGAGTCACTAATCACACAAGGTCACGAGAGAACTTCGGCAGAACAAAAAAACAGCCTTTGCAGTCTTGTTATTATACTTTCTGGTTGGCCTTCTCCACCTCGAACCATTGTAGCAAAACAATGATATCTAACTCAAGCTGTCGTGACTGTCACAATTTCTTTCCTTGATCACCATTTCACCTGTGTAGTACTGCACAGTACCACATGACAACAGAGTCCTCAATAATGATGAATCAGGTGGGCAGAGCTCAGGATGTGGAGGGCTTAAAGGGTTACATTATTAATGTATTTGCACACAATGCACCTATGAGTTACTTCCTGACCTTTCTGCTGTCAGATGTACTCTGTTGCCAGCAGTACATGACAAAATGCAGCAGCAGGAATTATAGTAGAGGGCAGAGTCCTTGCTCGTACTGCTCATCAACTGAATAATCCCATATTTAAGTCCTTGTGGCTTTCTTCAGTTTTACCCTTTTCTTGAAGGAATATCTCCTTTTATCTATGATCTTTGCTTGTTGATGTTCATTTCACATCAACAGTATCATATTGCCCAATGCTTTAGGCTAGTGCTCTTCCTCGATTTACAACAGTTCATTCATTTAGTGACCATTTGAAGTTACAATAGCATTGAAAAAAATGACTTATGACCGTTTTTCACACTTATGACTATTGCAGCATCGCCATGGTCATGTGATCAAAATTAAGATACTTGGCAATTGACTCATATTTATGATGGTTGCAATGTCCTGGGTCATGTGATTATCTTTTGCAAATTTTTTACAAGCAAAGTCAATGGGGAAGCCAGATGCATTTAACAACTGTATTACTAACTTAATAACTGCAGTGATTTACTTAACTGTGGCAAGAAAGGTTATAAAATGGGACAATATTCATTTTATTGTCTTGCTTAGCAATAGAAATTTGGGCTCAATTGTGGTCATAAGGTGAAGATTACCTGTATATCAGCTTAGAACTCAAACCCTTGAAATTCTGCCACCACAGAGCGTTGAGTCATAAGTCCTGCATTAGACAGTATTAGTCAGGATAGGAACCAGCTTTCCACGGTTTTTAGCAACCTGCACATAGCTGTCAACAAGACACATGGTATTCTGTCCTTGTTTTTTGACTTGGTCTACTTTGAAGAACTGACACTGGGGTTACCAAGCCATTACATGTATTATCCTGAGGACAGCAGCTGAAAGGCCTGTGTGCCGGTTGTATCTAGCCACAAATCATTGTAGCTACAGAATACAAAGAAATCTTCCAGCAAGTCCTGTCTTTGATCCTTGGTGAGGATCATGTTTAGTGGAAGGGCAACACAGTCCAGTGTCACTGTTGTCATGGGGATCAGTTATTGCTAGGTGGGACCCCCAGGAACTGGCCTTCTGATTTCATGGATGAGCAGGCAGTCTGCTGCTACTCACTTCAAGATGAGTCTGCTTTCTTTCTTGTCTTGCTGCTTTCCTTTGCCAAAAAAATATTTGGATGTCTATATTTAGAGTGGAGGTTATTAAGATCACTATTCCATACTCATTGCATAAATAGAACAATAAAAACATAGGAAGAATGCTGTGAAATATAGTGGATGATGGTAAAGACCTAGAATCTTTGACTGGTATTTCACAATGAATTGCCAGTTGGACCAACATAGTGGCCACACCATTATAAATGTTGATATCAGGAAATTAGAATACTCAGGCATGTTACCTTGGAATGAATTTGGTACATATACTGCCCTGTTGAAAAGCAAAGCAGACAAAGAGAGTCAAGGCCTGTACTATGATACCACCCCACTCACCTCTTTTCTCTGCCTATCTGCATGAGATTTTTGATTCTGAAGGCAAGACATAAGGGTGCATCCTCTCAGCCACATCTTGCCCTCTCATGTCAACCAGTGATCATTATTTAGCAATTGTTGCAGTGATAAGTCATGCTGAGTTGCAACAGACACACACCCATCCCAAAAGCCCAAAAGAATGAAAACCAACACACGATCAATTCTTGGTTCCAGCAGTTTTTTCTGATAGAGCTCCTCCCCTGAGAATGCAGTTTGGGGATTTCAGAGGGAAGGTATGGTGAACATAGAAACTGATGCGCACTTACTTGCAACTCGCATTGTTCAAGATGGTTCCTGATTCTTCACATGAGGGTAAAAGCAATTCCACAAGATTACTTAAAAGACTATTAAATGAATGTATACCCATGGGGATCCTACCACTGCCACCTACCATCATTGCTAGAGTACTAACATCTTGTCCCTTGTGTCCTATCACCTGAGTGTATAGGTTGCCATCATTAAAAGCGATGACATTTGGAGAGGCAATGGAAAAGAAAATGGCGTCCCTTATTCCCAGTTGAGGATGTCTGGAGAACTCACTCTAGTGCTCTAGTGAGCTAGAAGAAGCAAACTTACTGCTTCACATATGATTCCACTCCAGCAGTTAGTTGTCCTGAAAGTGGTGGTGATGGTGGAATGATTCACAATGGCATTTATGATTGCAATGTCACATTAAAGTGCCTTTTTATTGTCCACTGCAGGAAGTTCTATACAGTATATTTTCTAGTGGATGTCAAATTACCTTCCTGCCATTATGGATGACTACAGTTTACTGGCTCCTTATGTGTATATCTGTAATGTAACAAGTGCAACCCAATAACAACCAAAGAAATACCCTGAACAGAAGATGGCTGCAAGTAGAAGATAAGTTCCACAGGAATTGAGAAAAAAAGTACTGGTTAATTCAGCATGCAAGCCTAGCACAAAGTTTGCTTACTTACAATCTCCCCTCCTGAAAACATGGCAGCACTGCACATATCTGCAAAAGAAATGGAGGAAGCGCTCAAGGCCAAATGCCTTTCCCTGCAAGGTTGGTTCAACTAGATAAGCATTTCTCAACCTCAGCAATTTTAATATGTATGGACTTCAACTCCCAGAATTTCTTCCGTGCTGGCTAGGAATTTCTGGAAGTTGAAGTCCACACATTTTAAAGTTGCTGAGGTTGAGAAACATTGGCTTAGATCACGGGTGTCAAACTCACCACATGACGTGACGTGTCACGACATATCGTGACTTTTTTTGCATTGCGGGAGCTGGGGTGGGCGCAGCCTCTGTATGATGCAACCGGCCTGTGGGCTGGCAGTTTGACACCCCTGGTTTAGATCAAATTCTTCTTCCCCAGGCTCCCTCCCTCCCTTCCCGCCACCTGCAGCACAAAAACTATTAAGTGAATTTGAAAAAGCCATTCAGGAACCAAATATGTTTAAACTGTCCAAAACTCAAGCCAGAAACCAGCCAGCCCACATTACAATTACTAGAAGCTAGCCATGTTATAGATCTTAAACCATAAAGAGACAACACACACACACACACACACACATATGTGTGTGTGTGTGTGTGCACACGCACACAGCACATAGAAAATAAGCCATTGGGAAAGCAGCCAATATCTCTCACTTCTCCTCTAGTCTCCATCCCAACAGAAGAGGAGGAAATAAGCCATTCTGAAGAATAGTAGAAAAATAAAAATGGAACAATTGTGTAAGGTGTAAAACACTCCTTCATTTAGTCATCTAAATAAAAAAAATGAGATGTTGCTTTTGCCTTTGCTATCACTCTCGTCCTGTTTAATTCATGAAGGCATAGACAAGACTACAAAATCTTTCTGCCTATATTTTCAATTTGATAAACCTATGCATTCTTTAGGTTCAGGTAGCTCTTGCTCATAGCATTAACTTTTGCTGAATAATGTCTCCAGCCACCCTGCGTTTTTACTTAGGCGTAATTATCACTTAATTGATTGAGGTCCTCTTCCGGGTGCAGCCTCGTTGAAGTTAATTGATTTTACTTTTTATTCAAATGCCAGTTATCCATCTACAGGTGTGCATGGTTTAATCCTTTTATATCAACATTTTATCCCCCCCCCCCAATTCTTAACACTTTTAATTCCGATACAAAGCATTCGTACGCTGTAGTAGAAGGCATAAGGAACTTCCCAGGCTGTGACGTACGTTGCCATGGTGACGTTCCAGCAGCGTCTAGTGCTGGGAGGGGGAGAGAAAATAGGGATGAAAACAAACATGGCGGAGAGCAGGACAGCAGAAACGGGTTAGTAATTGCTGTAGTTCTCGGGAGGAGGGGGCGAGATTTGGGAGAATTGCCTGGGGTCTTGGCGGGGAAAGGGAATAAGCATTAATGGGAGGGGGAAAGGAATGGCTTTCAGAATAGATAGCTGGAAGTCAGTTCAGCTCTGATGTTTTGGTAAGGAATGACCTCATATTCTGTGCACAGAGTGTTGCTGTAAGACAAACAAGCGTTACTGTATTTTTTCGGACATAAATACAGCAGTTCCTTTGCTAGACATGCAGGTCAGAAAGGGATCTACTTACAGGATGAAGGAAGTACAGGCCTCTTTGGCTCGAGGGGAGAAAAGATCCTTATATTTCCAGGTATATTAGTGTGTACTGATAGCTAAAGTCTCCCACAAAGAAAACGTCGTTTGGAAGCAAGGGAGCTTTTTGAGGACCATGGAAAAACTACAGATAAAAGCAAGGAGGGGTATCTGAAGAGTGAAGGGGAGTGAAACAGAGCATGGGGTTTAAAATGAAAATGTCCCCTGAATATATTCATAAGAATGGCTTAGATGTCTGAATGAAAAACATAACATAACCTAAGCAGTATTGAAAGGGGAAAAAACGACAGTAGTCATGCCAGACCTTGAGGGACTGAAAAAGGCCAAAGAAATTTGGGATTAATATGAGGAGGTTTATTACCCTGGGGTTGAAATCATAGGTAGACAATATGAGATCCTCAGTGCTTTCAGGCAAAGGTCTTAATTACTGTTAATCAAGACCCTGCAGCAATTCTACCTTTTCTTTCTAGAAGAAAAAAGATGGGAAGAAGTTTTTATAATTAAGTACAAATTGAGGTGAACGTTGAAAAATACTGTACATTTTTACTTTGTGTTAATTACATCTGATGTAAAAAATATAAATATCAATATTAGTCTTATTGTTTTAATATAATTTCTTGTATTCAGTGAACATAGAAATAACATATCAGTGCTGAATTTTTAGGTGCAACATTTTATTTCCAAAGTCCAACCTGCTCTAAAATGGTAATTTTTAGGCAAGTGCTGATATTTCTATACAGGTGAAACTCGAAAAATTAGAATATCGTGCAAAAGTTCATTTATTTCAGTAATGCAACTTAAAAGGTGAACCTAATATATGAGATAGACTCATTACATGCAAAGCATGATAGTTCAAGCCGTGATGTGTCATAAGTGAGATGATTATGGCTTACAGCTCATGAAAATCCCAAATCCACAATCTCAGAAAATTAGAATATTGTGAAAAGGTTCAATATTCTAGGCTCAAAGTGTCCCACTCTAATCAGCTAATTAAGCCATAACACCTGCAAAGGGTTCCTGAGCCTTTAAATGGTCTCTCAGTCTGGTTCAGTAGGAATCACAATCATGGGAAAGACTGCTGACCTGACAGTTGTGCAGAAAACCANGGAGAGGCACACACTGCCAAAAGCACCAAAACCTGGTTCAATGACCATGGGATTACTGTGCTCGATTGGCCAGCAAACTCGCCTGACCTGAACCCCATAGAGAATCTATGGGGCATTGCCAAGAGAAAGATGAGAGACATGAGACCGAACAATGCAGAAGAGCTGAAGGCCGCTATTGAAGCATCCTGGTCTTCCATAATACCTCAGCAGTGCCACAGGCTGATAGCTTCCATGCCACACCGCATTGAGGCAGTAATTGCTGCAAAAGGGGCCCAAACCAAGTACTGAGTACATATGCATGCTTATACTTTTCAGAGGTCCAATATTGTTCTATGTACAATCCTTGTTTTATTGATTGCATGTAATATTCTAATTTTCTGAGATTGTAGATTTGGGGTTTTCATGAGCTGTAAGCCATAATCATCACAATTATGACAAATCATGGCTTGAACTATCATGCTTTGCATGTAATGAGTCTATCTCATATATTAGGTTCACCTTTTAAGTTGCATTACTGAAATAAATGAACTTTTGCACGATATTCTAATTTTTCGAGTTTCACCTATACAACAGCCTCTTAAGATAACTGTAGTTCCAGGGGCTCTAAGCCTCATTTCAGCATCATTTTACTATTTGGCTATTATCCGATTACTACTATTGTCATTCCCCTTCCAGGAATTATCATTCTATTCTGACATATGTTGTTCCATCTCCATATTTGTCATTACAGACCATACTATTGTTTCTGCTTTCCAGTTTTTCATCAAGCAGTATTTTATGATGCTTACCTGTATTTAACTTCATTTTGGCTCTTCTTAAAACACTGAAAAGAAGCAGGGAACATCATGAGCTAATCAGTGTTCACTTCCAGGTGACCAAGAGGAGAGTTAAAAATCCCTCACTTTCCATGTACATAAAAGGGAAAGAAAATACCTTGTCACATTTTAGTTCATGCTGTGTATTTTGTCTGGTCTTATGTAAACAAAATCTGAACAATTGCTCTGAGAAAAGTTTCTAACTGCAAAGTTGCTTTCTTCGCATGCCTTATTCTCTTCAGAACTGTGAGAGTGAAAGGAAAACATGTTAATATTTTCCCAACTAGGCATTTTTTGCAATACTTCATTCTGGTTTGGAGAAAGGAAGAAATTTCTTTCTATTGTCTAAACAATTAGGAACCAGCTAAACCAGAAGGTGGAATTTAAAACCATTGACTAAGACATTCCTTTAGATTTTCTGGCAGAAATAGGTTTAAGAGATGATGTTGTATAGTGATTCTAGTAATACCACCAGTTTCAGAAATGATGATGTAGTACCTCCTTACTACCAATATATAAGATTTCCAAGCCATTCTTTTTCTTTTTTCAGAGGTTTTGGTAAGTGGCTGGAAACTGAACCTTGACTTTCTGGTCTTTGTTCTCTTATTCTTCTTTCCTAATTTGAAGTATATTCTTGATCCACATGAGCCCTGGAGATACACTTGGGAGAGGTGGAGAAGAGAAGAGTTGCTGGATTTGGAGCTTTACTGCTTGCAAATTATCCAAAATAATTTTTAAATTAAAAAAAGTTAAAATCAGGAGGGCAGAGAATCTTAATGAGCTTTAGGCAGGTAAGATTCTAAGAGTGCCCATTGGTTCTACATTGCTAATTAAGAATTAGATTAGCATTACTAAATGTAGTATGGCCCTTACAAGACAACTTTGTAAGTTCATGTAATGGAATGGGGTTTTTTTTTTGTACTTAAATCCATACAAAGAGCACATTGTAAGATCCCAATTTAAGCGTTACTTTAATAATTATAGGATTTACTAGGTTGTTTAGAATCTGGATTTCTAATGAAAGTCATCATGACACTATTTGTTTTCAGTATATTTAGCTCAATCTTTAACAAAAATAGTTCCAAAAGGACCTTAAAAATTAGTGAAATAATAGTTTCTGGGTTCTGAAAAATATAACTCACAAAGAAAAGAGAATGGTAATATGAGGGAAAAAAACTCAGTTCCCTGTTCTGTAAAATTACAGTTTACATAATAACCAGCTGGGAGAAACAGTTCAGACTGAAAAAGGGCCAAAAGCAGCTGGTCTCTTAGCAGAAGCAATGATATAGCACTGCTTTTATTCCTCTCAATTTGCTCTGCATCGCGAGTAAATTATTATAATTTACTATTTTTACTAAGATAATTTGCTTCAAGTTATATATAAATCTTTTATTACACAGAAGTCAGTTTTAACTAATAAAAGCATTATCATTTATGAGCAATATTAATTTTAAACAATTTGAAGTGTTTTCAGTATAAAAATATACATTGTTATGGTAGCCCTTGTTATATACTTATTAAATGTTGGAAGTTATAGAAAGTGAAATTTATTTCTAAAGCCTAAACATTATCAATTCTAAACATGAATTGATCAACTGTTTTTAATAAGCATACATTTTAAAGGATTTTTTTTTTAAAAGAACTGTACAGGTAGTCCTTGAGTTACAATAGTAATAGAGACCAGAATTTCCATTGCTAGGTGAAGTTGTAAAGCAGAATATCAAGTGACCCTGTTGCTTAGTGATGGCAATCCTGGCACTCCCTGTGCCATTGTCATCTGAATGACACCAGTTGTTTGGTAAAAACCCATTTTGATCCAAGTTATTTCCAGCTTGGTGATTCCAGCCCTGAGCCTTAGTAAGGTAAGAGATTGCTTCCTTTTCAGTTCCCCCCACCTGCCTATCTTCCCTCCATTTCTGCCATTTTGGCCATCCGCCTGCACTCTGCCCACCCTGCCAGCTGACTAATCTTCTACCTGGTTCTCCCTGCTTGCTCTGCTGGCCTTGCCACCCTGTGCTCTGTTCACCCTGCTGGCCTTGCTGCCTTGTGCCTGCTGGCCCTACCACCACCAGTGAACCTTCACCATCTTCCACTGCTGATAGGGTTCCCCTGGCCTTGGCCTATATGAGGCAGCTGCTGTCTTCTTCCCAAGGCCATTCACACGGTCCTCCAAATACCATGCACTATTCTCCAAATATGTTCCCACTATTCTTGGAAGGTGTTGGAAAGCCTTCCAAAAGTTTCTGAGGCCTTCTGAAGCCTTGTGAGAACTGCACGTACAATTTGGAGAATTGCTATATTTAATTTAATTTAAAAGCTAAATTTAATTTAATAGGATGTCAGTGAGTAACTGCAATTTGTTTAAGTATACAGCGCTGTAAAGTAAGGTATGTTATATATGTTTAATAACATTTTAATTCTCTGATACAACTATATAGGATTTTATTATGGATCATGAATACTTAGGCCCATTCTCTAGAGCAGTAATTACAATTACTATAAATTTATTACATAGTGTATTATATGTTAATATATATTGTATATATTATTGTATAGTGTATTAGGCACCAGCCTAGAATCTGGGAGAGTTCTAACCCTGCCTTGACCATGAAAGCCAGCCAGGTACCTTGGGCCAGTTACTCTTTCTCAGTCCAACTTACCTCACAGGGTTGTAGGAAAAATAGGAGGAAGGAGGTGGATGTATCTGCCACCTTGAGTTACTTGTAAAAATAATAAAGGCAGGGTACAAATAAATACGATTAATGCTTTGAAATACTGTATCTTATTAGGAGTAATTTTCAGATAAGCTTCTTGAAAAGAAGCCTTGCCTGGAAGACCCAAAGAATGATGTAGTTGTAGGGGGATGGTTGGTGTCATGAGAGCTTTCCCTCTTCCTCCATCAATCAATTTTAATAGGATTAAATTGCCTTGGAAATTTTCTTGTCTTTTTGAAATTTTAAAATGTTAAAACATTTAACTCTAAATTAATTTTAATTTTATAAATTGTTTTATATGCCAATATTGTGCTGTCCACCGCCCAGAATCTCTCTTTGATTGAGATGGGCAATCTAGAAATATGAAATATAAATAAGTAAAGTCAGGGGTGGGGAACTATGGCCCCTTTACGACCTGTGGACCAACTCCCAGAATTCCTGAGCCAGTCATGCTGGTTCAGGAATTCTCGGAGTTGAAGTCAGCATATCTTAATGGGGCCATACTTGCCCACTGCTGAAGTAAGTAAATAAGCATTAGGTTTTGCCACCTTTGCAAATCCTTAATAATAAAGAGAACCACTTTATTTTGTGTTGAGTTCCTAATTATATCTAATTGGCTTTCTTATTATTATTCCAACAGGTAGCGACGTAGAACTAGATGAAATCATTACAGGAAACTTAAGCAAGTACACTGCTTTTCCACCAGGTTACTATGGACAGGCAAAAAAAGGACATCTTGTATTTGATGCCTGCTTTGAAAGTGGTAAGTAGATTGCCAGTTATCAAATTAACTGGAGATAGCTATTAGGTTTTAAATTTAGCCAGAAAATATTTACAGTATTTATTTATCAAACGTCCACAGAGGAACTTATTAATCACTTAAAGCAATACATATTGAGAATGAGCCTATATTTTGAAAAGATAAATGTTTGACTTTATGAGACTTTGACCAACAAATAATTATTCTGTATATTACTGCAAAACTAGGAATTAATTATGAATAAATATATAAGAAATGTTTTATTTCCATTCAGCAGAAATACAGGAGGAAGTTCTTCCAATAAAAACTTCGTCTGTCTTGATTCTCAGGATTAGAAGATCCTAAGCGCCGGTCTCCATTGGATTCATATTATATGTAGACATTCTTTATCTTTTTCATCTGATATTGGAATCTCTCATTAGGCATAGCTGTTTTGGAAAACAACATTAAATTATACTATTTGGAAATATGCTGCTTCCTACCAATAAGAAACCTTGAGAAGACTTTATTTTGATAATTTTACCCATAGTTGATTAATATAATAGTACCAAATATTAAAAACATGCCAGAAGAGGTCTTAAGTCATTTTTTCACTCTTAAAATGTCCATATCTAATGTCAGTTTTACTATGTCAGTGATTATATTTCTCCAGTTTGTGAACTTTAAAATAATATCTTTCAATCAGCTCTTAATTTTTGTAGGTATAATAAGTTATTAAGAATACTTGAGCATTTCAACTTGTTTATAATAACAAATATTATTCCTAAAACACACCTTTTAATTTATAAAGTAGTACAAATCATAAAATTATTGTAGGTTTTTTAAAAAAATCTAGTATAATAATATTGATTAATCATTAGAGAGGCCAAATGGAGTGAGAAGTAGGACAAAGGAGCAAAAACATTGTCCATTGATCCCTGTCCTTGTTTCAAATACAGCTTCCTACAGATATTTTTCTTTTTCAGAAATGTCACCAGGGCTGTGTTCCATGTATTCAGAGTTCAAAACACATGGGGTGGATTTAGGGAAGAATACATTTTACTGGCGCAAACTGTAGTTCCAAGTTAAAAAATAGCCTAAGTTTAAGTCATGCTTACTGCTGCTTTTGTGTTGGAAGCACCAAGGCATTTCCGGGTTGAAACGATTAGATGGTGACATAACCGTCACCTAGGGAATGCCAGGTTAGGGGCTCCTTTCATGTCCTTCTTAATTGCCCATCGAAGTAGTACCTATTTGGGATTACTCGCTTTTGAACTGCTAAGTGGGTAGGAGCTGGAGCGAATGACAGGAGCTCACCCAGACACATAGCAGCACTTGGGTCTCGAATGCAGGCTTGATGATTGTCAACCCAGCATTTTAACCACACGAGCCATCATGCTGCTAAGTCATGCTTAAGAATTGTAAAGATGTGCGTTTCCCTGAATCCATAAAATTGCTCTGTAAACTGTATGAGAATATCTGAGATAGGTCAGAACTATTAATGCAAGACAAATAGTACATTTTTTGCTAAAAGAGAGAGATTGAGTTCGTCCAATTAAACTATAGAGTTTCTTGTGTGCACCCTAGAAAGCATTGTAATTAATGGGAGAGATGAAGCACCGTAATGAGGGCATTGATCTAGGCTATATTAGGATTTACAGGTTCAAAATATGCAAATTTATTTCATATGCATATATAAGGCAAGAATAATTACTATCTTTTATCACTGTAAAATACTAGGTAGCATACGCCATCTAAAACAAAATACATAATAAATCAGAAAATATAAAAAAAATCAGTAAAGGAAAGAAAAACCAAGGTTAGTATTTACAGTATTTTTATGTGTGAATTTGCTAAAGAAGTTGACTTTGTGGAAAATGTTAATTATTTAGAATAATAATGTGAATTTTTCTACTTTTAAAATATTTTCAGTCACTTTGGCCCATTAGATAACATTTAACATTTTCTGAATAATATCTTTATTAAGGTAATATATATATATATATACTTCTTATAAGAAATGTCCCACTGTTTATCAGTGTGGATGAAATCTATATATCTTTAATGAAAATGCTACATAATGCTCCTCTGTTGCAAAAAAGAGATATTTTTTTTATAGAACTCTTTAGAAATGGTGCAAGTGAAAATGGACGCAAATATTTTAATGCAGACATGTCAAACTCGCGACGTCACATGACGTCGCGCAACGTATCAGGACTGTTTTGCCATTGCTGGCAATGGGGTGGGCGCAGCTGCCGCGTGATGCGTCCAGCCCACGGGCTGGCAATTTGACACCCCTGTTCTAATAAACGGTAAAAATGTATTTTAAAATGAATTCTGATGAACTGTATAAGTGCCTTATTTATTTAGCATAAGGCAAATAGTGCCTTGCTAATATGGATAATAAAAATCTAAGAGGGAGAGAAACATACATTTCTTAGATATATGGAGTATGTTTTGAATACAGGGCATTCCATTTACAAAAAATTGTCTAATCAGAACTCAGAAAAAAACACAAAACATTTTTATTATCAAACAATGTCTCTGAATTCTATTTGGAAGTTAGAGGCCTATTTGAAATGCAGATAATGTTAGAGGAGGTACTTATTTTCAGTATGCCAGCTTTTCATATATTTATTTAAATCAGCAACAAAATTAAAGTGTAGTCTGGAGGGCACCAAGGGAGATATCTGTGGGCATACCTCCTACAGCTCTTTGCATCTGCTGTAGTATTTAAATCTTATGGAGTTTATTTACAATCAACTGCATAATTCGTATTTGTGGCTTCTGTGGACTTTCATCTAAATAAGCAACGAGGCAATATGTGTTTGGGTGTGTGCACACTAACAATAAATAGTAATCCATCTGATTAGTTTGAAAAGTGTTGTGGATAAACATCTTATTTTTTTAATGGTACAGTCACTTATTTTTTTATTAATACTTCAAATATTTTTGGAGCCCAGCCCTCTGAAGGAAAAAGAGATTTTAACTAATTCTAAATACACATGTCATATTTTCTCTTATTTTGATGAAACACATAGAGCACAAATTTTAAGACGTGTGAATGTGTGAAGCAAGGAATGGCATGCCATAGGGCCTTCACGCTATCCCACTGATTGAAATGATCAAGTAGTCCGCAGCTGTAGTAGAGCTAAACTAATGTCTTAAAAATGTAGCAGAGCTTAAAGCAGGAGTAGAGATAAGTGGGATGGGGTGGGGGAATAGCTCTATGCATGTGTCAATTGCCACAGAATAAAAAATCCTAAATGTCTACAAGAGGCAGGAAAAAAACTGAGCAGCATCAGGATACCCTGAAAGAAAGTATACGGAGCATCATTACTGCAAAGGAACAAATTAGTTGCTACTGAATTCCAGGAGAAAGATAGCCAGGCCAGATGTCTGTACTCAAAGTCTATTGCAACAAGCTTGGCACTGCTGTTAAGCAATTGCTCTTTATATGAAGATAAAACTCTTTATCTCTTTTTCAACTGAGTTAATTTCCTTGGGTGGTAGACAACATCCAAGTTGAGTTTTCAGTTTTTCCCTTGTGTAATAACTTTTTATTAAGTTTCATTATACAGGCAGCAGAGATTTTTATTCTCCCTTTCTATAAAGACTTGGACTGGCAAATTACTTCGTGAGAAAAGGGCTTCCAGCTCTGGCATAAATAATTACTGACTTTCTCTTCTGCAGTATCACTGATAAAGTATGCTTATATAAATGTATCTATACAAGGGTCTAGATTTTGTGAGATTTTGTTAAAATTTTATCAGAAGCAGTATTTTAAAGAAATTAATAACATCAATACCACATCCTGAACTTTGAACCACTTATTTAGATCATAAAGAGAGACTGAAGAATCTATGTCTCCCTATAATCTCTCAATAATTATATTTGCCATGGTTTCTGAGTTATATTCTACCATAGACACACTAATAGGAATTATAGAGTCCATAATCTGTAACTAGGGATATTAGGGGCATGTATAGCAATGGGATATGACATGCTGGGATCCTGATCTTTGCTATAGAAACCACTGCAATAGAGATTAGATACATAGGCAGAATTAATCTTCAAAGATTAATGGGCAGTTTGTCTATCAACCCTGGATGTTTGTTAAATATGAGTGAGATTTTATATATGCATATTTGACATTTTATGCAGATGTAATGCAGAAGTTGGATTTTATGTATTTTGCTCAATATATGCATGCATAAAATGGTGAGGAAGAATTAGTCCACTGCATTCAGAGTCTGATAAATTGAGGTCTATTTCTCAATATTTAAATATTTAAAGTATGGACTAGGTTAGTGATGGCGAACCTTTTAGAGACCGAGTGCCCAAACTGCAACCCAAAACCCATTTATACATTATCGGGTGCCGGGTGGGTGTGGCCCATTGGCTGGGTGTGGCTGCAGATTGGGTGGGACTAAAAAGTTCAATCAATAAATTCCAACTTTGCAAGATCTTTTTTTTTCCTGCGAGAAGTTGAAATTGACTGATTGAACCTTTTTTTTTTTTTGCACACGGAGGTGGAGGCCTAAAGCAAAAATGTTTTATAAAACCCAGCCAAAGGCCTAGGACTGGGGTGACGGTGCGCGTGCCCACAGAGAGGGCTCTGAGTGCCTCCTCTGGCACCCGTGCCACAGGTTCGCCACCACTGGACTAGGTCTTTCAAATAAATAAAAATATTGCCAATTAACAAGTGGAAGACATTTTAACCTTCCATATAAAAATTGTGTTTATATGTTCAAAAATTAAAGCTAAAGCCATATCTCAGGTTTATTAAATTATACACTATATATGATTAGAACTCTATAACCCCAATTTTCAGAAATTTAAATCTCCCCCTCAAGAACGTTACTGCTTTCCTTTTCAGTGATCATGGCAAAATGTCTATATGTAGCTTTATCATTTAAAAATTGTCTTTCACCTTCCTCATAGTTTTGATTACTTTTGATTTTCATGTAGTTTTATATATGTATTTTAATTGTTGTGTATGTTTTAATATTTGTTGATTTGGT